GCTGTCATTTACACTGAGTAAAATAAATTCTGCTTTATCATAATTGATGACACTTTTGTATGTCTTGCATTAAACTCGCATTTAAAATTCTTTTACCGTAAATGCAAAATTCAAGGAGGGGGAAAACTATCTCTTTCAAAAACATTGAGATTAATAGTTTTAGAAATTTTTATAATACCAAGAGTAATTTCTTGTAAATAGTTATTCAGAATACCAAGAGTAGTAAATTACAATGTTATATAGAGAAGGGAATGAAATTCTAAAATAAAATGCGTTATAGATAGAACCATTGTACAGTATAGATTATCTTGTATAAATAAAGCAACAAGAAGAAGAAAGTTCACAAGGCTTTCAACTTTACATGTCAGTATTGAAAAACATTCTACAAAAGGATGAGAAGTTTTACACTGAATTTTGACCATGTGGTTTAATGTTTTATTAATCATAAGCATATGCATTTCAAGTGCTATCTGCCTAGAACAAGATGCTTCTTAGCACCAAAACCATGGCAGCAGTTCAATTGAAAGCATCCTTAAATCTTCCATAGATTTAAAGGTGAAATTATATACCTTTTTCTAAAATTACTTATATGGACAGTATGTAAAATTTAAAACAATTTAATGCCTTACTTTCAGATTTAGAGGCATCTTTATCAAGAATTGCAAAAGAGGTTAATTTGATTGTCCTATCAATCCAGTCAAGTGTTATAGCAAATAAGAAAAATATTGTAAATAATCATTATTACAAAAAGAAGATATTTATATAGCTAAAGTATTTTTCATAAACAGCTGAAGGACACTGAAAAAACTATCTGTCTTAATATGGGGGAAATTGCACTTGTGTCCCTGGTATTTAATGAATAATAAGAGGAAAGTTAAGCATTTAGGTAGTGAAGTGAAAGAATTATTTAATGTAGGAAACCCAATTTATGAAATCAGCCTGTGAAAATGCTCTATTCTAGCTATAAGATATATAGCAGTCTATGTAAGATTTTATTAAAAAGACACACAAATAAAGGCCATAATTGGTTTTCGTGTTTTTCCCATGCAGGCAGTGAGATGACGTCTACAGCACCACGGACAGTCAGCACGGTGACCACTGTTGCTGCTTCCCATGACGCTACAACAGAAACAAGTGCACCTACAGTGCACGTTATCGACGACACTGGGCACAGGAGTGCACCATGTCGTGATTCAGACGAAACCCATTCTGCTTACAGCATGATACGAACGCATTCGTGTGTGGAGGCACAGAGGAGAATGACGTTGCCAACTTGCATTCGTGAAAAATCACATGAGCCCAGCACCTGTCGTGCTGGTATGAGGTGCCATTCCGCCTTCATCCTGGTTACGTCTTGTTTCCATAACCGGTAATGTGGGCAAACGTCTTTACATTTGATGTGTTAATGCCCATGGCTGTGCCCTGTCTTCAAGCCCTGTGTGACGCCATCTTTCAACAAGATGATACACGACCTTATGCAGGGGCGTAGCTAGAGGGGGGCAATGGACGTCATCGACGACACTGAGCACAGGAGTGCACCATACCGTGATTCAAACGAAACCTATTCTGCGTACAGCATGAGAACGAACGCATCCGTGTGAGGAGTCATAGAGGAGAATGAACGTTGCCAGCTTGCATTCATGAAAGTCATACCTGGCGTGTTGGCATGATGTGCCATTCCACCTTCATCCTGGGTCACCTCTTGTTCTCATAACAGGTAATGTGGGCAACTGCCGTTACATTTGTGATGTCTTAATGCTCGTGCCGTCTTCAAGGCCTGCTTGACTCCATCTTTCAACAAGATGATGCACGAACTTATGCTGCCCTGAAGTTCTTTGAGACAGAATGTTTCCGAGTGTTGCCCTGATCAGCACACTCTCCAGGCCTCTCTCACTTATTGAGAGCATCTTATTATGGGTTGCCGGGAGATTGCCATGCCATCACTCGCCAGAAAATAGAACTAAAGCTGCATGGAATGAAGTACCTGTATCAGCTTAGTTCAGTTAGATGCTCAACGGGATTACACATGTTACTGGCTGCCAGATGTGTCAGCTTTGTGTACTGAATTCCACATGTTATGAACGCCAAACCACTTGTTAATTTAATCATATCTTCCTCTCATTATATTAATAAATACAATACATACGATAAATATGATTCTGTTATTTGCTTTGCTTCCTGGTATAGAAATTTTAATGAACAGCGCCGTATTGTTATCTTCTTATGAATCTGTACTACAATCTAATTTTTTGAACCGTCGATATTTGCATCTTTATATCAGAATCTATTTCATATTCAGGTCAGTCTGTTAAGTGCGTAGTGCGTGCATGCAAAAACGGCCACCAGATCCCTAGTTCGGCATATAGTGTATTTTAAGGAATAAAATCCAAACACTTGGTTATGTATGAATTTGGGTTTGTATTCTATGCTGCTGCCCAGGTAAATGGTTAATGACGCTGAATGCCGTAGTGAAGGGTCTGGGTTCGAATCCCGAAGAAGGCGTAGCTATTGGTAAACTTATAATATCTTCATATTTATAAGCCACCATGTGCATGGATGTTTGTCAGCTTATAATGTGAAGCTATTATAAATTTACAATCATCCATGCTTTCTTCATGCATGAAGCAAGCGAGCATTCAAAATACAAGGCCAGCCGAAATTCTCTCGAGAAGTTGATAGTAGAGGAATAAAACGTTGGGAGACCCTCGGGACACCCGCAGGTCCATCTTCCATTAAAAACTAAGGTGCAGCTTATTAGTTAACAAGACTCAGCAATACACAATGTACTTTTGGGAATGGACGGGTGCTTACCAATTAACTTAACATACAACTGCCTTTTACAGTTGGGATGTTATGAATGAAACACATACATACCAACACACGTTCATGCATTTCTGAATCCAGTCCCTTGATAACAGAATAGTAACAAAATAACTGTTACTGCTTTTGCTCAGTATCAGAGGGAGAATATTCCTTGGATGTACGAATTGTAAACTTTTCTATACTTTAATTTTTATAGCTAATAAATAAAGCTTTTCCTTCAGATTTTCAATTTTTCTTTTTCGGTTATAATTAAAAACAGATTTTAATAGCAGTAAACTGAATATAAAAGAAGCGACATACTGCTGTTTACAATAATAAAGCAGTAATTTGAAAATACAGAACTACGGATTTTTACTCGACTCTTAATCTGTACTATCTCCTCATGGTAATGGTAAAAAGCATGGAAAAAAAGAGGGGAATGAGACTAAGCTGTCAAACTATTGGGGTTATAGAAAAGTATAGTTAGTTTTTTGCTATTGCATGGGCCTTCAGCCCACTTCAGGATCAATACAGGGATCAAACCTCACTACTGCATCACATAACAACTAATTCGTTGGAAATTTGGATCATTAGATATGTTTGTATTTCTATGCAAATCACAGTACAGATTTTATAGGGCATTCAGTTACGATTTGAGGTACATTATGAATGCAGGTGCTACCAGGATAAAAAAAACAGTTATCTTTTCTGCTACGCTGATGACCACTACACATTTCAAGAGTAATATCAACATGGTAGTTACAGATATGGCACTGTTTGACTTTTGTTTTTAACTTAGAGATTAGCAAATAAGGCATAGTTTGAAATTATTATACACACAATGCGATTTCAAAAAATTAAATTAGTAATTATTAAAAAGACATACAAATTCTGTTTCAAATGACAATTATGTTTTAAAAGCAAAATAACGTGAGTTGCTTATTATGTGAGTAAATTATGAATTCCGAGTCTAAGTCTGGCCCTGCTTGATCTGTACATAAAGAATATGCCATATAATTATAAAAAAATAACTTCTAAGAAACAGTATATTCTTAATTTGTTTTAAGAATATGTTCTGAAAATTATTCAGATTTTTGAAATTTTCAAAAAACAACACTTTTTTTTCACTTTCATACAATATATAAATTGCTATTTCAGTGTCAATGAAGTATCAGACTTTCAATACTCAGCTACATAAGTTTCTATCCATAAAAATTGTTTTCTTACTTTTTCATCAGCACTAATAACAGATTTATTTTTAGATATAAAAAATGCACTCAGATATATATGTTCTGCTTTACCCAATCAGAAATAATACTTAAGCGAATTTTGTGGCATGGGCTATACTTTCACATCATTTTGAGTTATTAACTTTCTTTAGAATACGGGTCACTTTTATCTGGTTGCATGTGTTGTCTCCTTTCATTTTTTATTTGTCTTTAAAATATATTGAACTCGCATTTCTACATGGATTATATATTCTTTATGAAAATATTTAGACAAAATTTTGCATAAGACAATTTAACAACATTATATAACATTACAGAACTAATTCTAGAATGGCTACTATGTGGAAGGCTATCAAATACTGCATTTTAAAGTAAATAATACATATATAAAATCGGATCGAAAAGTAATTGCCCTGCGTTTTCGCAACAGACGCACATTACTCGACTTTTAATGCTAATTTAGCAACATAACAGAAAAAAAATTAGCAATCAGATACCAAACAAATGTAAACACATCTTAATCCTGTTTTTCCCACGTATTTTCCTCATCTCCTTAGCACCTATTCCCCACATTATATTTACTTCCGTTGGCATAATGAAATGTCGCCCATATCCTTAAAAGAGCCAAGTTGGCGCAACCAAGGCTGTTCTCCGAAACTTATCCCTTCTTTCCCTCCCTTTTTCTATAGGGCCTTTAATTTTTTTTAATTATTTATTTATTTTTCTCTCCATTTCTTTTGGGCCATTTATTTTTAATTTTATTTTGTCCCATCTTTTCTTCCTGAGCTTTCGAACTCGTATAAAATATACGAAGTTCCTTTTTACTCTCTTCTGAAATACGAAAATTGCCCCTCTTTCTATATACCTTTCCAAGGTTCTTTAATGTTTCCTTTCCTTCGCGCCTAAACTTGATTTTTCGCCCATCGGGGCAGAAAGACTTAGCGGGTGCAATACATGACATCTGTCCTATTCTAACCTCCTTGCATCTGTCTACTTTGACGTAAAAAATTTGTCGCCAAAATAGTCATCGGCGGTGACTCATTGTGATTGGTTGAATGTCTATATTTTCTGTCGGGTTTTAGCCAAAGGCTTAGAGATTCTTTGTTTTAGCCGCTCCTGAGCCTTTACTAGTTGATCATCGAGGTTGTATTGCTACTTACTCTAAAAATTTATTTCGTTGGTTATTGTGAATGCTTGGATTTGATCATGGAGAACAAAAACTGTATATTAACTGATATCGTACCACAGGAAGAAGAGAAACTTTATGCATGTGATACATGTAACAAATCATTTAAAGATAAGAAGTGTTTACACATGCATTTGCTATGCCACATTGGAAAGAAACCTTATATGTGTGAAATGTGTTACAAGTTCTTCCCGCAAGAGTGTGATTTAGAGAAACATATGCTTTGGCATGCAAATAAAAAACTTAATATGTGTGAAATTTGTAAGAAAACTTTTACACAGAATCATTCATTAAAGGTACACATGCTTTCACATGCAGAGAATAAGCCTTATACCTGTGATGTATGTAAGAGACAGTTTGCGCGAACACGCGATTTACATGTGCATGCTCTTACTCATGCAGAAAAGAGGCCTCATGCCTGTAATATGTGTGACAAGTCTTTTATACGGAGATATAATTTAGAAAGACATATAGTTACCCATACAGGAGAAAAACCTTATGTGTGTGATATTTGCGACAAGTCGTTTGGTCAGAAGACTTATTTACGATTGCATGTAAAAGCTCATGTGGGAGATAAACCTTATGTGTGTAATATATGTGATAAGTCATTTACACAAAAGACATATTTACAGGTGCATATGCGTATTCATACGGGAGAGAGACCATATGTATGCAGTATATGTAACAAGTCATATATACAAAAGTATCATTTACAAAAACATATGTATTCTCATACATCAGACTCTTTTGTTTGTGATTTATGTGATAAGTTATTTACGCAAAAGCGTGATTTACAGTTACATAAGCACATCATCCATGCTGGAAAGAAACCTTACACATGTGATATATGTGAAAAACCTTTTGTACGAAAGTGTGCTTTACAGATTCATCTGCGCATCCATACTGGAGAAAAACCTCATGTATGTGAGATATGTAACAAATCATTTTCACAAGATCGTACTTTGAAAGAGCATGTACGTATCCACACAGGAGAGAAACCGTATGTGTGTGATGTATGTAGCAGGCCATTTACGCAAAAGTGGAGTTTACAGAAGCATGTTCTTATTCATACTGGAGAAAAACCACATAGATGTGAGATATGTAATAAGTCATTTGCACAAAAGAGTTCTTTACGACTTCATATGTGTATGCATACAGGAAAGAAACCATATGCATGTGATATATGCGAAAAGTCATTTATACGAAAGTGTAAGTTACAAGAACATATACTTATCCACACAGAGGAAGAATGTTACATTAAGAATGAGCCACAGGAATGACCCATAAAAACCTTTTAAAAGACGCTCAGAAATACAACTTTTTTTTTAACCTTGAAGTTATTTAATGTCATATCATAAATGTTATCAATGAGGTAATAATAAGCTTTATTATTCATTAACATAATTCTTTAAAGAAAAGTAACTCTTCCTTTAATAAATTCTATTGCTGTACAAATTCTGATATATAACATTATAATTCTGCAAAATAAAATTAACAGAGTTAGTAAGTAAATGATATAAAATTTAATTTTTTTAATTAAATTCAATTTATTCTTATGAAACAAAGCATGATTGCATTATGTGATTTATTGGATATAATTTAAGGCTGTCTTAATTTGAAAAATTGGATGACATAGCAAGATTTTATACTTTTTATATATATTTTTAAATAGATTTACATATAATTAACGAACATTGTGCTAATTAAAGACAGGATGTAATTTGAGTGTTTTTTGCAGGAAAAGGGCATTAAAATTATTGATGTAATGATTTGTTGTTATACAAAAAAATTTAGGTTGATCTTTACATTATGGTAACTTAGCATTTTTTTTGGCGAAAATTTGGCGACCAACTCTCCTACAGCAACCCTCTATTTTTTTTTCCCCGCCGCCATTTTGTCTTCACGAAGTAAAGACATGTTTCTTTTCTTTTTATCTACTGAACACTTCTTCCAACAATCTACTAGCCGAATTACACTTATGCTAGAAATTTTATCAAACAAAACTGCTTAATCATGACAAATATTCACTGCAAAATTGGGAAAAAGTGCACAATACCATACTCCTTACGCGTTTTTCAAAATAACACATACACATAAACCATGTACACGGCGACTTATTTTTACTTAAAAAAACATCCCAGAATTGCACAAAAATGGCATTGCGCACACTCTTCACTATATCCATGTACACTGCTTTTTTCTCATAAATTAGAAAAATTTCACGAAAATACATGACAATTTTCTCAATCTTTAAACCCGGTAAAAAGAACATATATGAAATTACCTGATCGCAAAAAAAGTATTTACCCTTTACAAATATGAACATTTCCACATATAAAATAAATAAAATATCCAAAACCTTTTACCTCTAAATCATCTATTACATTATACACGTCACCAACGAATTCATACCGCAAGCATTACAAATACTTAATATCAAATATTTAAATTATTTCCATGCACGTTTATTTCAACTTAAACGTATACCAAATTCCTACAAACATAAAATTCACAAAATAACTATCATTTCATTAAAATATAATTAAATTCAAAAACACTACTTAAAATATAAATGAGCACATACATTAAATTAATAAAAAATTACCTTACAATCCTAATTACTTTAAACTAAATCATTGCTAATAACAATTTTCCCAATAATACAAAATTCCTTTCCACCTTACATTTAGAACAATGCATAAAAATAATATCCTCAAATAATTAAAAAAAATACTAACTTACCTAATCTTCTTCAGAATCTTGATTACGTGTCCGATAAACTTTTCTTGAGTTACGGCCATGGGATCCAAAAATTCACGAACACTGTTTCACACAACACAGAATAAACCAAATACAAAATTTCTAGATTTGTTCCAGATTTCCCCCCTTTTCCGATTCAAGAACCGTAATTCGTCCATTAATATCACATGACATATCCCATGATCTCTCATTTCCCTCACACAAAATAATGCGTAATCGGAACTGAGTACTGCTCACATTATTACCAAAGTCCCAGGTAGTAACCTTTATCGCCTCCAAAATGTCGCCAAACTACCAGTTACCGTATTGTAAAGATCAACCAAAATTTATTTATGTGAGAAAAACTGAGTATCTTATGTGTAACATACAGCTAATAAGAAACTGAAGACTAGTTATTGTTTTATATGTACAAGGTGTGAGACAAAAAAAAAAAAAAAGAGACTGGTCCAATAAATTACTGTACTTACAGAATCAGTTCTCCGTGCCATTATCACCTTCAATATAGTCTCCTTCTGTATTTGGTGTTACCATTGCTGGTAACAGTTCTGGAATGAAGTTTTTGGTAGGTCCTTCAGGAGATCTTCCATTTTTGCCTGAACATCTTCAACTGTGGTAAAATGGGTTGCTTTAAGCAATATTTAACTTTAGGAAATAATAATAATAATAATAATAATAAAAAAAGTTGCATTGAGTCAAATTAGGTGAATAAGGAGGATGTCCCATCACAGTAATTTTTGCTGGTCAGAAACTGCTTGACATATGGGGCCATATGAGCAGGCGCATTGTCCTAGTGCAACAGACATCCATCCCTCCCTAACTGTGACCTTTTTTTTTTTTTCCTAATTTTGTCATCAAGTCTTTTTAAGTACTTCAATGAAGTAGTGTTGATTAACCGTCTGACCACTGGGAACCCACTCAATCATGATGAACGTGCTGGGGACCCCTGGGTCCCCAGCACGTTCATCATCTTCCACACTGTACCTTCCCCCTGAAAACTGCTCATGCCATTCAAACACATGTACATGAGACAAAGTTTCATCTCCATAAGTCTCGGTTAACATTTGAAATGCTTCCTCCGTGGCTGATTTTTCAAGTTTCACAAGAAACTTGATGAAAGAATTTGATGACTTGATGAGCACAAGAAACTTGATGTTCATTCACCATTCGGTTTTTGCATTAAACATTTTTCCAGCAAAATGCAGTTACACATGTTTACTCAATGATGCAGTGCTCCCAACTGGCGTGATCAGTTAAGTCGAAACTGGGCTCATGGATAGAGGAGGTGTGTGACATGACATCACCAAAACAGTTGTTGCTAACTCCACTCTTTTTTCAAGCTACACAGTCTCATTTTCTTTGTGTCACACCTCATATATGCAATGTAATAATATTACTTTTTTAGAAGAAGAGGTATTACTGCATATTTTGTAATAAATAAATATTGTATTTAATAATTATAACAGTCTATTGTTATTTAAAGTTAAAATATAAAAATATGTATAACTGAGATATTTCCCTTTCCTTTTAGAAATATAGTGAATGTGATTAAGGAAACATAAATAACTAGAAGCTGGAATGTTCGAATAAAACCACTACAGAAGTATTACATTGATGCCTTTCTCTAAAAGGCTCTTTTTTTTCTCTTTTTTTTTTTTTTTTTTTTTTTTTTTTCTTCCAAATATGAAATTTTCCTCTATCATCAGCATTGATCTTTATTTGTTTCTGAGTATAAAGCTTAAATTGAGTTCAAGATTGCTGCTATCAGAGCAACTTTTAACTAGATGTAAGCTTCATTTGTTAGAGTTGTTGTTGTCTTCAGAGCCTGACTAAGGCAGGGGCATATGGGGCAGTTGCCCCAGGCCATCAGCCCCCCACATCAGAGGGGGGCCCTGAAATTGAATAGAAAATTTATTTTACGTTTCCTTCTTTAATAAACTTTTTTTAAACAAAATATCAGTCAAATTTTGGCTCTTTAGATGTGCTATATCCTTTTAATGATGGACATGAAACTGTTAAAAAATCAATAAAATGGACAGAACGATATTTCGTCTGACCATTAGACAGAGGGGGGACTTTATAGCTATTTTAGGTTCTAGTCAAATTTCTTGTTATATATCTATAATGAGGTGAAAAAATTTAAATACCTCCATAAAGTTCGTTTCTTCATTACTGAAGCAGAGGGTGGCCCCCAAAGAAGATTTTGCTGAGGGCCCTGGCTATCTTTAAATAACATTTTCAAGTTTATGCCCACCAGTGATCAAGTATTAAAGTTGTTGAATACTGGTAATTTCACCTAAGTTATACAAGTGATAGTGGTGAACAGGCTGGCTGCATGGGTGTTTTCATGGTTATCCTTGCTTGTAACATGAATAGGAGCCAGTTTCCCATAGAAAATCCTCCACTAAGGCATCCCTGATTGTAGGCAGCTAACCCTCAGGTGCTTTGCCACAACTGAATAAATCAAATTCAGTTTAATTTCACCACAGAGTTCTATTAAATTTAATAGCTAAGCTGTGAAATAATTCTAGAATAATATATAAATTAATTCTTTTAAAGAAAAAAAAAAAAAAAAAACTAATAATAATTTTTGCAAAGCATTAAAAATCGCACAAAATTGAAAAGCATGAAGGCATTAAAAAATTAAATCCAGTAAATGTATTTCTCAGTAATACAAATTGATCATATTTTTAATGAGGAAATATCAAAATTTGCTTAAATTTACTTATGAGGAATGGCATTTTGTCAGTTTTTGATGCATGTAAAGGAAAACTTTTGCATCATAAATAATATGAGCTAACACTGTAAGACATGAAATAATGCATTACAAGCTTGTCAAAAACTGAATACAGAAACTGATAAAATGCCATTCCTTATATGTAAATTCTTACTTTGTAAATAACAAACAATGCAACAAAAATAAACACTGAGAACCATCAAATCTGAAGATAACATTCATCTGCTGCTTGCATATGGATACTTGAGTTTTTGCATAAATCCATTTGGCAATGTCATTGGTTGCATATTTTAGCTGCATAATGGATTTCCTGGCAAATACTTTTTAGGGAGGATGTGGATAATCACAAAGCATTGACTTATCATTACATTCTTTATTCACCTCATTTCAGAATTTATTTAATGATGACATGTTTAATTTATTTGAAATTGATACTATAAATCACTTATTTATTTATTTACACTTGTAATAATAATAAATTTGAATAATCACCAAGCGATGTATATGTTCTCTGTTGTGCTGTGGACGCCCATTAATTCATGAAAGCAAAACTTAGAATTTTTAATCGTTAAGATTTTTGGAAGCATACTTGAAGTCATTTCTTGCTGAGATTTTCAGGACTTAAGGTTTTGTTTGAATTAGCTAAAATTTGGAATTATTTAATTTTGTTTGCTATACATATGAATGAAAATGTGAATTAAAAATTAGCAAGCATGTTACAACACATTTTCGTTACAATGAAAATATGGTTCATAGCAATATCTCATTCTAAAAATGCTAACACTTTTATGCAAGTTGGGCACTGTTCGCAAAGCCATCATAATCTTTGTAAAAGTATCCCTTGTACAAACGTACTCTGCATCCTTACTCAGATCAGCTTGTGATTTTAAAAACGCAATCTTTTGTCAAGTTATAGTAAAAACACTGCACATAAAATTTCAATACTTTTTTGGGTATAACTCTAATATACGCCCTAATTTCACCAAATGTGGCGATATGTGTTCTGCGCTGGTTTTTGGCACGATTGTGTGTCCTATGGCAACCCTGTTAATGTTGAAAAATCTTTCGCTGGAGCTCGTTGATTCGCCTCTGTGTCTGAGAATCCCCGGAGGGAAAGATAAAATGGTAGTTGTTGAATTGAAGTTCGGCAAAAGGAAATATCATGTGGACTTTGAGGGGTAGTGGGTATTGGGAAGTGTGAAAAGAGGGTCTGGGAGCTTATTTTAATGGTAGTGCTGATAGAAGTAGGGATTTGTGATTTTATTTATTTGTGAACCATAGTATAATTTTCTGGTATGTGTCTGGATTGTCTGTAAATACGATAGTGAAGACGGGGCGCTGTTAACGGCGGTATGAAATTGATATTTTTGCTATTCGAAAACGCGTTAATTCATGGTAAGTGCTT